TCCCCCGGTAATCAAAAATAACGTGAACCAAACGGCCCTTATAGGTTTCTAAAGTACAAGTATATTGTTCTTCACTTGAATAATGTAAAATAAGATTAAGGACTTCCTTTTTCTTTATTATAAACTGTATAAAAAGAACCCATGTTTTTATATGTACCACTTTCAAGCTCTGTTAATTTATAAACTTATGGTCTGCATCATCTCTAGACTTTAGCCCACGAACAAAAATTCCTTTAAATAAACAATTATTACACATGCTCCTTGAAATGCTAACCTAATCTTATTTATTAATATACTATATAAACATTGCAAACTGCTTTTTATTGATTTAAAATTCAAAGCATAATGAAATTCTAGATCAAATATGAGGGCAGAAGTTCTAAATTGGCCCAAAACATGAATATTTTATTGGCCACTCCAACTTTCAATTGAAAAAAGAAAATATCAGTAGATCAGTCCAAAGAACTATTAATAGAAAATTGATAGATACCAACCTTCATAGGCATAACAATTCACTAGAGCATCCAAATGACCATAAGCTTTCCATGCTTTATCTACTGCATCATCAAATATTCCCTCTCTTGCATCTTCCATATTCAATCCAATCACCTCTACTGAGACCGCATTCTTTACCGAACCCATTATCCTCTCTCTGGCACTCCTCAGACACCCTTCATTTCCCATTAATACCAACCTAATCACATTCCCAGAATATCATTCTTTAGTTCCACTGTTGCTCCATTGATGAACAATGAACAGCTATGGTATACATGATCAAATGGAAAAGAATTCTGAATATAACCAAGGCAAAAGCTTTTGTTTAAAAAAACTTTGGAAAATACTGGGAATTTCTATGATAGTTTTTCTTTCCCGAGAAAACAAGTATATTCAATAATCAATACATAATCTAATAAAAAGTAGGAAACTTGTAACCTGCAACCACGTTTGGCTAAATGTAAAGCAATGCTCACTGAGATTTCATCTCCATCTGAAGTGATCAATACATTAGTTCCTTGAGTCGCCATTCTAAATAGCCAACTGCCATCAACCAAAAAACCCCATAAATCATCAAGAAGGAACTAAATCAAACAGAACCCAGAAAGAAAATCCAAAGCTATAAATCAACGAAACAGTAAGAAAGTGTTCATTAGTTACCTGTATATTGCTGCTGATGAAATGAATCAAAGCAGAGGCTTGGGGAGATTTATGAAGGTAGCCTTTAGTCCCTCTAACTTGCTTTTATAGTGGTAAGGAAATTGTTACAAGTGTTTGGCTGACCAAAAGGCAAAAAGAAAAAAAAATGCTTTGCTTTTCTGCGTGTTCTTTGTGAATGTAGTAACGCTTTTTAAAGGTAGATGCTTTCTCAGGAAACAAACAATACTTTAACAACCTCCAATCCAAGGCCGTTCAAAACTTGTATTACCGAGAATAAGTCCAATTAATAAATGCGCTAGTATGGGTATCACTAGGGCGTGAAGTTAATCGCGAGTAGTTTTGTAGTACAGCAACTTAGCTTAAGGTAAAAAGAGTGTAGAAATATAGATATGATCGAAAATACTATATTTTTTCTAACATTTTATATTTTTAATATTTTAGGTTGATCGTAACTTAACGTGTTAATAAAAATAACTTTTTTATTACACCTTTTTCTGTTGTTTTTATCCTTAAATTAGGTGGTTATTATTTAAACTTTCCTTGGCTAATCACAGAATTCCTAGTATTAAAAATATGGTAAGTTTTGACACAAGGTCCATGTCTTATGCATTCTTTATGGATTTTATTGTATGGTGTGATATTTTTAGTTTATTTATTTTTGGAAATATATATTTGTCACTTCTCACATGCTGTAAAAAGATTTGAATTAAATTCGACTATTATTGATCTCGACTCAAAATAAAAAAAAATTAAAGTATGACTCGAGTTCGAAAAAATTTGAACTCGAAATATTCTCAAACTTAACTCGATTGAGTTCAGACACGAGCTCGAACTTGAACCTTACGTACATGAAAATATTATATTATTTTTTAAAGAACAACATAAATATTAATATTATTAAAATTTTAATTTAGAAAATCTAAAATTTTAATATATTATTTTCTCAAGTCGCTCGTGAGTTTTTCGAGTTGGGTATCAAGTAGCTCACTTCAGCTCATTGAAAATTCGAGTCAAGTTTGAGCTCGAGTTGAATCCATTCAATATGAGAGTTGACTAAACGTTATGTTTTTAATGACAAGGTACTAAAATAAAACAAAAACTAAACATCAGGTATGATTTTAAAAAAATTAAAAATTTATGTATTAAAACGGATCAAAACTGATAGTTTAGATACTAAACGCGTAATTTACCCTTATTTTGATATGAAAAAAAATTGTAAATATATATATATATATATATATATATATATATATATATATATATATATATATATATATATATATGGTTAGATCGAACGATTCTTTTTTCATTCATTTAACGGTTCTAAATCTGTATAAAATCAAAACAGTTTTACATTATGCAATATGATTATATTCCATAAATATATATATATATTTGATAATTCTAAATTGATGTCAATTAAATGTATCAAAACACATAATATAGTTTTCTTTATAAAATTTAACTTAAAAAATAACCCAAGAATTATAATATGGTAACTCTAATTATATAAATATGGAGTCAATTAATATGGTACAAATTTGAAGAAAGAAAGAATGGTGGCTGTACCCCTTTTTTGTTATCTTGAATTGACCACTGGCCATGCAACTACTAAATCTACACAATTCATTAAACAAACTATAAATAATTGAGTCAAAGCTTAATAATATTTGAATGTTTTATTATATTATATTCAAGTCAAGCTTTTAATTATAGTGCTTTAAAAGCTAAATATATATACAATATGCATTAGTTTCAATTTGTAATAATTTATGTAACTAATTAATGTTTTATGTAATTATATAAAATATCATAAAAATTATAATATTTTACGTGATTTCTAAAACAATTATAAAATTCCAATATTTTTAATTACTCTATACAAGAGCAAGGTATTACACAAAAACATTATATATATTTTTTTTACAAATCTTGTGTGGCACAAGATATTATAATATGTTATATAATAGAAATTAAAAATATATATAACGTAATTAAAAAAATGTTAGGCGATGGTTGGTTTTAGAATTTTGGTGGTCATATAAGTTGACATTGGAAATCGATGGCTTTACTGGTAGACTGGATGATGGCTGTGCTCAAATCATGTGAGTGCGACCGTTACCTCTATGATTAAATTTCACGACTTTTTTTTCTATATATATATTTAGATAACTATATAACAGTATTTGTACCGCTTAGAAAAAATAATGAATCCCTTAATTATTGGGGTCAATTGGTTGTGGATTTCTCAACTTACCCTCATTCAAAAGGGCATAAATTTCGCATAAATCAAAAGACCTTAGTAGTTAAAGAATTCAATTTCATAACTTTTTTTATAAATCGGATAAATATAAGATAATATATATTCAAAAATTCTCAACCATTCACAGGCGGATTTTCTTCAATTTTTTTAAGTATTAATTAATATTGAAAAATACATATTTTTATAAAAATAAAAAAAATACATGACCTCTCAATTAAAAAATTGTATTTGTGAAAAATAGAAAATACTTTAATCCCGCTTTAAAAAAATCCTAATTCCATCCCTACAACCATTTGATATGAACGTTTATACCAATACATACGTGATGCTCGAATTTGAGACTTCATAAAATAATAAATCTATCAACTATTAAGGTTACTTGGTTCGTGTGAAATTCACACCTTGATCTCATAAAAAGGGTATATATTTTATTCGGATTTCTTTTCCATACCCAAACATTCCCCACTGAATATACTTGATAGACCGCCTTTCTTTTTTTTTTTTTGTCATATTTAAAGCATGATAAACAAAATAATTTATAAAAAAAATTATTCACCGTAGATGAATTAATAAAATATTTATTTATAAATTTATTGGTTTTGTATTTAATTCATAAATAATTATTTTAATTATTTTATTTAAAAAATGAATAAAATATTATTATAATAATAATACTAATTATTATTTAAAATAATATGTTTTTATTTTCCAATTGAATTGATAATTAATCTTTTATCACTAACCTAATAAGAAAAATTATTAAGTAATCTAGAACTATTAATTGGTCTGAATTGTTAATATTATGTTTAACTATTTTATTTTTTAAAATAATTTAGATTAATTATAAAAAAGTGTCCATTTAAAAAAATGTTATTAATAACTCACGACATATTTTATAGACGTAAATGTTTCAACTTGATACTCATAAAGAGAACAACATACTCTTTAACTACTAAAATCGTTTGATAGATTTTATTTTCATAAAATTGTAGATGTGAAATATTAATATATATATGTATATTCTTCAACGTTCAAATGATATGTATTCTGTTTTTAATTTAATGTTAGCACCTTAACTAAAATACTTAATGGTATTAACAATTAAGAATAATTAATAATATTATAAAAATAAAACATATAATCAAGGACTAAACCAGAATTAAATATTGACAGGGGCCAGAATATTATACTATTTAAGAAAAATACAAAGACTTATTAGGTATTTAAACTTGAAATTCAGCATTAACCAAGCGATCTTAGTTATTAAGGGATTGTTGTTATCCTTGAGGTCACGAGTTCAAGCACGTATGTAAGGTATGAGCGTTCATTGTCAAATGGTTCAAAGTCTTTGTACAGATAATATATTGTATTCGCCCTAAATTTATATATAAAAAACTCAAAACTCACAAGATAACTTCTCATTTGTCTAATCTTTAAACTTACAATGAACTAAATTTTAATTAGACCAAAAATTTGAGAACATATACTTATCATTCTTTAATTCGACCCCTACTTGATTAAATATTTAATAAGTTTTTATATTTTTTAAATTTAAATATATTTTTTTGATAATTCAATTTCATTACCCAAGAAGCAGAAAAACCTGCTACAGTAAACAAAGACAATAAACAGCACAATAGAAAAGCAAGGAAAACCACATGGAAACCACAAAGAAAGACCAGTCAACTAAACTAGAACAACAAAGATAGGCTCTATTCAAGCAATGCCCCAATTGGCACACAAAGCATTGTTAACCAAGTCTAACCGGTTGAAAGCTTTGCCCACCAGCCGAATGCGTATGGTCTCTTTGATATCACCTAGCAACTCATCCTTCGATCTTGCCCTGTTCCCGAATAATCTTTCATTCCTTTCATTCCAAATACCATAAATGTGCCCAGACCAAGCAAGCTTAAGAATTACCACAATAAGGGACTTACCCTTGAATAGTAAGGTAGCCCAAGCCAGTTCACTCTCCCAGCTACAACCTTCTCGAGAGATGCAACAAAGATTAAGAATGGATCCTCAAATATCCCTTGCAAATTGGCATTCAAAGAATAAATGATCCCTTGTCTCCGCCTCTTCTCCACACAGCAAGCATTTATCCGTTTCTATGGCAAGACCCATGCGCAGAAGCCTTACCCGAGTAGGAAGTCTGTTTAGTAAGGCCATCCAGACGATGATACTATGTTTAGGAATACGACCCGAGAACTAGACCAAGTGGTGCCAAGGAACCTTAAGAGCTGGGGGGCGCAGCTTGTCCCAGATATAACTCCTACTGACCTCTTGGACTAGACCCACAAAGATGGGAGCAACTTCAGGCCTAATTTTTAGCAAGTATTTAAAGCTTCAACTAGCATTCTTAGGGGCTTCCATCTGCCAGAAGTTAGCATTTCTTATAATATAAGAACGCATCCACACCACCCAAAGAGAGCCATCGTTAGCCAAAAGCTTCCTGATTAACTGAACAGAACAGGATTTATTCCAGCCGCCTACATCATTAATCCCCAACCCACCTTCAGATTTCAGCAAACAAATAACCTTCCAACTCACACGTGCGCCTTTGGTCGGGGTATCAGACCCTTTCCAGAAGAAACAAGAGCACAACCGCTCAACCTTCCTAATAAATGCTTGAGGAAGAATAAGCTGCCTGCTCCAGTAGCTAGTGATGTTGAGTAAGACAGAACAAACAAGCTGCAAACGACCAACAAAGCTGAGATGCTTGCAGGCCCACGAGCTAAGCTTAGCTATAATTTTATCAATAAGACCTTGGCAATCTTTCACAGCCAATTTCTTGGTAACTAGCGGGACTCCCAAGTATCTCACTGAGAGGCTACCCAGCTTGAAACCAGTACTTTCCTTGATAATATTGAGCTGCTCATCAGGAATGCCCGCAGCATACATATCGCACTTGCTGGCATTAAGCTTCAGCCCTGACATGGAATAGAAATGGTCCAGCACAACCTGCACTCCCATAACAGAATCTGTAGTACCCTTGCAAAATATGAGGAGGTCGTCCGCAAAACAGAGGTGGGTGAGCCCAATCCTTTTTGTACTTTGGATGATAGCTAAAGATACCCTTTTCAGCTGCCATATTAAGGAGATTAGATAAGACAATCATTGCTAGTACAAAGATGTAAGATGATAGGGGGTCACCCTGTCTCACTCCTCTATCTCCTTTGAAATATCCAACAAGACTACCATTGAAAACAATGGAATATCTAGGATTAGCAAAGTAGGCCCATGTCCAGCCTATGAACTTTTCAGGCAGCCCCATGGCATGCAAGATCACATTAATGAAACCCCAACTTAAGGAATCAAAAGCCTTTTACAGGTCTATCTTAAGGGGATATCTTACTTCTAGAGTAACCCCTAAAAATTTCATGTGCAATGAGCGTATTGTCTATTATGCTTCTCTCCTTCACAAATGCAGTTTAATTTAAAGAGATCATATAAGAGAAAACCAAAGAGAGCCGGTTCACTAGAATTTTTGTAACCGTTTTGTAGACGACCGTGCAGCAAGATATGGGCCTAAAATCCTTCACTAAGCTAGGATTAGAGATTTTAGGGAGAAGCACCACAGCAGTTGCATTAAATGAAGGGAGCACGAAAGAATGATCGAAACAGTATCTAACAGCTTTCAGGAAATCCTCTCCAACAATAGACCATGTCCTTTTGAAAAAGAAGGCATTATACCTATCTAGGCCAGGGGACTTGTTGTTCCCTTGTCCCCATAAGGCCTCTTTAATTTCAGTTTCAGAAATAGCTCTACATAAACTATCTACTGCTTCACAAGACAAGGAAAAACCAAGGAGATCCTTGATACAACTAACAGAACTAGCCTTAACTTCAGGGTCAGCCACTCCAAGTTGGTTAACAAAGAAACTAACCACTTCATTTGACATGTCCTCAACAATGTCGAGCATGGTACCACTTTGATTGTAGAGGACTCTAACTGTACTGCATTTCCTTTTAGTAGCTATCATGGAGTGGAATTTGTGTACCTTGATCACTCTCCCCAATCCAGTCGATTTTTTTTCTTTTTGCTTGTAAAATAGTAACTCATCTTGTTCAAGAGCCCTCAACTCCTTTTCAATTTCCAGCTCAGCAATGATATTTCTTCCAGCAAGATCAAGGTTAGCAAGTTAGAGAATCTTCAATTTCTCTCTCTTCTCCCTAACTTTCCCAGATATGTCATTGTAATTATTCATATTAAGCTCCTTAAGATGTATTTTTAGCGTCTTGAGCTTTAGATAGAGAGTTTGAGCAGGATTTGCATTGACTGGGGCTTGTCAAGAATCCTTGACTAAGGACATGAAATCAGGATGCATAGCCCAAAAGTTAAATTTTAAATGGTTTGGGTTTGGCAGCAAGGACCTCTTTGTACAGCCATACAAGTGCAAGGCAGTGGTCAGAATCACCAGGTGCCTGAAACTCAACATCAGAGGCAGGGAAAACTTCGAGCCAATTCAGATTTACAAGAACCCGATCCAGTTTACGTCCTAAGTAAGTGGCATGTTGGTCCAGGTAAATAATGGACATGTGTATGGATGATCAGTTAGCCCCAAGTCCTCCACACAACTTTGAAAGTCAACCATGTTAGCCAAAGTGCCAGCATTGATCTGAGAAGAACTTTCCTCAGCATTGAGTATGAAATTAAAGTCACCACCAATTAGCCAAGCCCTATCTCCCACAGAGGCTTCCACAGAGCAAAGTTGGGTCCAAAAATGCTTGCAAATGGAGCCATCGTTTGACCCATAAACAACAGTAATGAAGAATTCAATATTCTTAAAACGATAATTAAGAATGATGCTTTGATTAAAAGAAGAAATAATGGAGCAAACTACATCACTTTTCCAAAGAACCCAAATACGACCATTTTCAGCATAATCATAATTGCAGCAAAACTGCCAGTCACCAAACTTACTTGACAGAATAGCTAAGGAATTATTTTCCTTCACTCTAGTTTCCAATAGGCAAAGGATACTAATTTGGTTCTTAACAGCCCAACTCAAAACCTTTCTTTGCTTTAGGGGGCTATTAAAACACCTAATGTTCCAAAAACAGGTTAACATGAAACAGATGTGGAGGAAGAAGCACCCCCTCTTTCCTCAAGTTTCTTGACTTTATCCACATGCTCTTTCTTCTTTATTTTCAACTCTTGAACAAGCTTAGCAACTCCCATAGAAGCTCCTCTCTGCTTTTTACTAGAATCAACAATAGGAATTTCCAGGACACTGTCAGGATCTAAGGAGTTGAGGACATCAAATTTATTTTTTGAGGCTCCTCCAGTAATCTTACCCTCTTTGGCAAGTCGTCCTCTACCTCTTTTAACTAAAGGATTGTTTATATGATCAACTTGTTTGGTTGTGACAGTGAAACCTGTACCCCCCTCATAAATTTTACTGACATCAGCAATAATATCAATCTGGTTAACCAACTCGCAACCATCATCCAGCACTGGTTTGGCAGTAGCATGACACTCAACAAGAGACCTATTAGTTCCCACCTAATTACTTGGCAAGACATCATTAAATGTTTGATCATTATCCTTGCCAGAACTAAACCCTCTGATGATATATTATTGGCACTAATATCATCTGAGGACCTACCACTAGCAGAAGGGACAATCTGATTTGTATCCTTGACAGGCCCCTTGGCCCTCCATATCTATTCAGTTTTTTACCCCGAGGGCACAACTTCACAGAGTGACCAAAACGCCCACAATCAGTGCAAGAGCTAGGCATCCATGGGACAGAGACCCTAATGCTTGCTACTGACTCATCATTCAATACCACATCAATGCGATCCTGAATGGAAGATCCATCAGTAATTTCAATGCAAACTTGAGCATATTCAAGCTTTTCTCGAGCAGCTGTAACGGAGTCCATATGAAGAGGCCTCCCGCCGGCGCTTGCAATGTAGCTGAGCCCCCTCCTTGAAAAGAGCTCCAAAGGGACATTGTACAAATGAATCCAAATCGGCATTCGGATCAAATCAAACTGAAGTTCCTTCAAATTAGGTTCCCACCTCCTAAGAAAGATCGGTTTATGCTGTACATGACATGGACCATTGTCTAAAACCCAGTCCCTAGCAACCGAATTGGCAAAAGAAAAAATGTATAAATTTTGCCCAGCAAGACTTACCTTAATCGGAGAAGCCTTCCCCCAAAGCATCGAGACAACTCTCTGTATGGATCCAAAAGCTGGAGCTGAACCAATGAACTGACCAACATGAGCAAATTTCCACTCCGAGATTCCCTCCTCAAACACATCTTTCGGCGGTTTGACAACACAGGAGCCCTCTATCACCGCTGGCATAAAAAACTCTAATTCCTGATCAATCCCCACCGCAAAAAGCTCACGCTAGTTCGTAGCAATGTCGCCAGACATAGCCCAGTAGAACCCCCAAAGAACCTTGGCAGAAGAGGAAGAAATGAACACTAGACCAGAAGAATTGAGCTTCGTCTTCTCTCGCTGTTAGAGCCAGCTAACATGCACCGAGAGAGAAAGATAAACTATGTTTATGACGTAAACAAAATTATATTAAATATATGAATTTTAACAGGAGTCGGACCTCCCTTCTACCCTAAAGGAGCTCTGTCCCTAGATATAATCATACTGAGTTAAAATATATAGATTAATTTTAAAATTTAAAATAATAAAAAGATAAACTATGTTTATGGCATAAACTTGAAACTTAAAAATAGCTAACTTCGAATTCTGAAAAGGGTTTTGAACTTTTACAAAATCTTAAAAATCCCAAATGTTATGTAAAAAATAAGGATAATATTATATTAGTAAAATATATAATTGGTCCTTTGAATATAGGATATTGTTTTATTGAGTCCATCAACTATTAAAAGTTAAAAAAATGACCTCCAACCATAGAGAGTTGCTTTATTGACTCCTTCAACTATTAAAAGTTATAAAATGGTCACCCCGACTTTTCTTTATGTTCCAAACTTGTCATTTTCCGTTAAAAATTTGACGACAGTTTGAGCTGAACGTTACCTTGCTGACTGAGATGTGATAAAATCTAATCTCATAGTCTCAAACAATTATCTTATCTTAGTCAGCAGGTTAACGTTCAGCTTAACTGACCGTTTAATAGAAAATGACGAATTTGGAACATATGAGTGACTATTTTGTAACTTTTAATAGTCAGATGACTCAACAAAACAATATCCTATAGTCGAGGAACCATTAGTGTACTTTATCCTATTATATTTAATCGAGACATTTGTGGACCTGAATCGCCTTATGCAATAAAATCTCCAAAGTGTTAATTAGATCATAAAATAGATAAGTGAAGGAAAAAGGGAATGTAAATTTCTCAAAGCATCTTATTCAAAATCAAAAGTAAAGGACTCCAAGAGTGGCTGAAACTTTTGCCTTTGGATAAAGAAACTCGGTCATTGGGTTTGGGCGGTGATTCTAGACGTCCATATGCTCTTGTAAATCAATTATTGTAAAATAGATTTTTAGCGGTATCTTTTTAGTCATATATAACATTTTTTAGCAGCTGAATGATTATTATGTTATTTTTACCATATCATTGTTGATGTAGATATGTTAAGTGTTGAAGAATTTGTTTAAGTATGGAGATTTATTTGATATAAAGTGTTACGTAGATGATTGTCGAACGAAATAAAATTTTAATTAAAATTTGAAATAAAATTTTAATTAAAATTTTGAAATAAAGAAGAAAGATTTTACGTGGAATATTCTTAAATAATAGAGTAAAATCTCAGACAATAAAGAATTTTGGGATAATTAAAAATAAAAATAGTTACACTTGTTTTATATTTGAGCTATATGAATTAACTTGTAAATAATCTAAAAAAGTAGGGACTAAAAACATGATTTCCCATGTGACTTTTTCTCTTAACGTGTTTTTTTCTCTTCTACACTAAAAATGGGGAAGTCTAAGGAACGACAACCTAATTTAAGGATTAAAAACAGCGGAAATTGGTGTAACTGAAAATGTTAGCTTTTTCCTAACATTTTAGGTTGAACATTTTCCGTTGGACACAAAATGTTACATTTTTCCTAATATTTTTTGTTCAACCGAAAATGTTACATTTTTCAACCGAAAATGTTACATTTTTCCTAACATTTTTTGTTCAACCGAAAATGTTAAGAAAATAAGTAACATTTTAGATTGTGTCCAACCTAAAATGTTAGAAAAAATATAACATTTCCGGTTGCACCATTTCCATTGTTTTTTAACCTTAAATTAGTGTGACGTACCGTAAACTTCCCCATTGAAAAGTATCAGATTTCATTTTCGAATTCCACCTTGCACTTTCCATGTTGATTATGTCTTTATAAGGTGAAGCGTCGAAGATGTAACAACTAAAATGCAAATACACGTATTGCTACAAGTAATAATAGTGCAGAAATGCACAAATCAACCCCACAGAGTTAATCAACCTCAAATGATAATAAGTATTAATGTAAATGGTTCAAGTTAATTTTTTTGTGAAGTGAAAGAAAGCTAACTAATGCTACAACTACTATGATATAGCGGATGATGATGTGAAATGGAATGAGGAACAACCCAAGAGACAGGCAACCGAAAGAATTGATTACAATTAAATTCGATCCTAGCAATATAAATGATTCTAATCCAATTTTCAAATCAACAAAGCTATAAAATTCCAACTCAACTAAACACTGGCGTCTCACTATTCACTCAAGAATAATGATTCTACCCTAAGGTATTATATGCCTATAGCCTTAGAATGATGAAGAATAAATTCTATGTTGTGCAAGGTAGATATACAGCCTCGCAAGGGCATAAATGCTACAGCGTCGCTCTCGAGGGCTCATGCATCACTTCAACCGAATTCACATATCGGGCCTCACAGTGCAATCTAGGTACACATATTATTATATTATTGGTATGAAGCTTTTGTTTGAAGTGAAATTAGAAATACTAAAACTTTATTAAATTGGATCGCAAAATATTCATCGATTACACTACTAGCTCAATATTCGTTCATCATCTCAACAAAAAATGTAAGAAAAGAACAAGAAAAAACTAAGAGATTGAGAACTAATTTCGAAGGTTGAAGATGATAGTAGATGCAACACTGGTAGATCCTCCCTCTTTGAGGTGACCTTTCGTCTGTTCTACAACTGCTTCAAGTTAGTGGCGAATGGGCGGAGCTTACAGAAGAAAAATGGTAGAAATTTGGAGTATTTCTTAAATGTGAATTGTATCTCTTTCTCAAATCTGCAGCTGTCTTTTATAGTCAAGGATCTCAACTGTTGTAGCTTAACTGCCAACTACTTTTCTCGCTCATTTTAACAGTTTAGCCCGCATATTATAACTGCTTTTGCCATATCATTTTTCCTTGTAGAATGTTCTAATTATTGAATCTCCTAACTCTCGTGTCCAAAAATATTTATCGTACATGCTTGTTCCAACTTTCCTTTCCATCCATGCTGTGGCATCTACAAATTCTTCATTATTTAAAGCGCTTTATTATATTTTGTTTCAATCTCGATGTTGTGAAAAAGTATCAATTAACACATAAAATTCATACGAAAACCTTTACGAAACAAATAATTATCCTTCTAAAGTACCGCTTTCACATCATATATTTAAGATTTATCACCTTAGTTTTAAAAGGCGCATGGCGAAGGTGCACGTCTTTCATAGGCGTGGCGTAATTTTATACTAAAAATCTTTAAATCAATTATATAACATATTTTGTACTCAAAACAACGTTATAACCATATTGTAGACACTTAAAGATTAAATTATTCAATACTATGCACTAACAACACAAAATTAATATGAGAACATAGTTCAAATAAAAGAAAGAGAAAAGAACAAAAATCAAATAACATGATTGTTGAAGTCTTGAAGACTTAAAGTTCATAATGTTTTGTGACACACAACACAATGGAACTTAAACATTAAATACTTGAGCACTCCTAGCCTAATACTCCACTACTCCAAATCATAATTATCATAACCTTCATTTCCACCATCTCCTCCATAATCTCCATCTTCACCAATATCCTCTTCTATCTCATCTTCATCATCATGCACCAAGACTTTATGAGAAGAGATAGCAGTTGTGCTTTTTCCTTTATCACATCTAGAAGATGGTCAAGAACTTTCGTCATTGATCCTTAATGCTCTAGTCAAATAGGTAGGATCATGGGCTTCGACAGCTCTACCAACTTGACCCCATGTCAGACCAAAACTATCATCAAACACAAAATCATCTTCATCATTAAAAGAGTTGCTCTTCATTCTCCTTATTAACCACACATTTCTTTCATTAATATCCTCCAAGAGAATAAGATCGATGGTGTCTTTCTTTTGATATCGATGTCTCAAAGAACAGTTATATTTCATAAAGACTAAACCATTCAATTGACTTTGTGTCAATATGTTTTTCTTCTTTGTATGAAGTTACGAGAATTAAAAATTTAAATAAATTATTAAATAATGAAAGACTGAAAAGTTGTTATGATATGAAAGTAGATATTGAAAAAGAAAGTTTCTTTCGAGCTAAAAAAAATCATAGTTCCTTTCACTACCAATAGCACTACAAGTGAGACTAAAGACTTTAATAGGAAACTTATGGAGGTTTTGAGTTGAATAGCCAATTGAAGACCACCACTCTGCTGTAACAAAATAAAAGCAAAATATTGTAAACTTCTAAGTTAATAATTTTAAAGAAAATAAAAATATAAAATAATATTATAACTTTTATCACAAGTTTTAATACTTGGGGATTAGTCTTCCTTAGCCTAATGGCCATCGACAAGCTAAAAAGCCCTCTGAATTTTGATACATTTCTAATTCTGCAAGGATTATTCTTGAATTTCAATATCTGGATTCAACCTTGCAATGCAATTGTATAAATCCTTTATAATTTCTTCATAAGATGAAGTCTTTGAATTATCATAATAGGGCTTTGAGTTTAAAAAGTAATCGGTCACATGCAAGCTTGGTGAAGTTGGCAATCACATTTTTTATTAATATATTCAAAAACTTTGTTGTAACTCTCCTCCTTCATTGCAAATCTCTTACAAATGATCTCCTTAGATCTATCCATGACTTCATAAAATATATCCCATAGGTGGTTTATTCTCCCCATCAACTTATCTGAAAACCTTAACGAAAGGTCTCGTCAACTTAAGAGCATAAAGTACATTCCTCCAAAAGGTGTATTGTAGAATGTAGGATGCCACATTTTTTCCTCCTGCTTTCTTTGGCCACTTAGATTCACTCTATTCTTGAGAAATAATCACCTTTCTTAAATTATTTCTTTAGTTATCTAATTGGGTAAGGGTGATGAAAGATGTTGTAAATCTAGTGATCTCCGGCCTATGTAGATTTCTCTCAATTTTAAACCTCCTCATCATGTTCACAAGAGAAATGTGGCTATATATATAGCCATTCATGAACATGCACTTCTTTAGTGCATTCTTCACCTTTGGAAATTTTTCAATATCTTCCAACATTAGATCGATGCAATGTGCCCTACATAAAGTCCAATAAAGATTTGGTCTTGTGGCTATTAACAGTTTTCCTAAAAATTAGATTCAAAATATTTCAATAATCAAGTAACTTGAATAAAACAAACGGCAAGTAAAGAATTCATATTTCTTACCGGCTTTGACATAGTTGGATGCATTGTTTGTCACCACTTGGACCACATTTTTCTCTTCTACTTCTTCCACCATGTTATCAAGCACTTTAAACATGTTGTCATCTTTTAAAGTTTTTGAAACATTCATGGATTTAATGAACATCGAGCCTTTTGGAGAGTTGACAAGAAAGTTCACAATATCTTTTTGCGCGATCAAATCATGCCATCCATGGATAAAATTGAACAACTTTTTAGTACTCACTTTTTTTGTGATCTTCCATTATGTTTCAAGCTTCATCCACTTCCTTCTTAAAAAGATGAACTCTAAACTCACGCATGCTTGATGGTATCAATGTAGGATCACGTTGTCCAACACTCATATATCTCCTTGATGCTAGAATAATTTGTTGTATTGAATACAATTATGGCATCATAAAAAATCTATCAATCTATCTACAAGTTCTTTCCCTCAATTACTTATTGAAAGTTGCAATGCACATCCCTCTCTTTATTTGGATTGGCTCTAGGAGATGAAACAAACAAATCCATTAGACCCTTAAGCCTTATTTTTTGGGTAATTATTTACCACTCTTTTGACTTGAATTATCGCCACTTGAGCCCAATGTCTCAAGCTTTTCTTCCTCTCCATCATAATCATCAACATCATGTAGAAATTATTGGGATATAATCAAATTTGAGGCCTTTGCCTCAACCTTTTTCATCATAAAATCCTTCACTTTTTTCCTCATATGTTCAGGACATTTAAGGCATTTGGTTGCATTGTTGAATCCTTCAACCAAGTATTGTTTCATTCAGTATGCTCCTCCTTTAGAAACTTCTGCACAAAAATTGTATACAAAATTTTGAATTCCTAACTAAATTTAATGCTCATTTCTAACTAAGTGACTCTGGTTTACTACCCAAGGATGGACTCCCTAGAAATTTTGAATTCCTAGTATAGATATTTTTTCCTATTTTCTATTGATAATATAATCTATCACCCCCTCGAATATTTTATTTCGCACACCCTAATTGTTGAGTTAATCGATCGACGAAATAGCTAAGAGGGGGGTGAATTGGCAATAAATATTTTGGTGGAAGCTTTTGCAGAAAATAGAAAATAATTGCACAGTGATTTAGAGTGGTTCGACTTTCTCAACCAAAGTCTACGTTCACTACCTTACCTATCCACACTAAGGATTTTCCACAAATTCACTAATTTGTCATTCTTTTGAGGACAAATAGTAACCTTACAAATCCCTCAAGAATTATACCCCAAATTCTTAAAAACACTCTTTCCCAGAGAGAACAATACAAATTTTTCAAACTAACAGAAAAACCTCACAAGGCAATGTGTTTGCACAATTCTAGAACAAGAAAAGAACACTCAAAGATGATTACAAATGAGCACAATATGTGTTTTTGAAAGTAAAATGAATATTGAATGAATATTGGCTTGAAATGTACAAACTTGATGTTTAATGCTTTCTCTCTTGTTTCTCAATGAATTCTTGTTGATCAATGGCTTCAGAACCTGTTTAAATACACCTTTGATTGATTCTAGCAATTGTGAATCATTTGGGTGATGTTAGAGCCGTTGTAGTGTGAAAACTCTCTTGAAGGTTGCTGGGAGAGAGGGGTATCGGTACCCCTTCAATGGGTATATGTACCTGCAGTGTAAAATTCAAATATTTCGACTGTTATATGACTAGGGGTATCGGTACCCATAAGGGGGTATCGGTACCCATAAGGCATTCTGTTTTTCTTGGAGCCAAAACTTACATAGGGGTATCGGTACCCTAGGAGGGGTATCGGTACCCATAGGGCATTCTGTTTTTCTCGAAGCCCTTCTATTTAAAAATTATTTTTTGCTTGAATAAGGCTCAAAATAATCTGTAAAATTTGGTTCAAAAATATTTTAAGATTAAAACATAATTTTACACTTAAGTAAGGATTGAAATTTTTCTTTGAAAAACTTAAAATTTTGATATTCGAATAATTTAATCGAATATACATTAAAAATGATTATAAAATCTTAAAATCCAATAACATTTAATTTGTTATATCAAAACATCAAAATGTTTTCAACAATCTCCTCCTTTTTATATAACAAAGCATTTTAGCAATTTTATGATTTTCTTTCAAAAATCATTTTTGAAATCAATTTTGAAAAATTACTCCCCCTTACTATAACACTTCTCCACCTTTTTGTTAAATCAAAAAGACTCGAGAATTTAAACAAGAATTTAAAAATTAAGCTAATTGATATTTAGATATAGCGTAAGCTGCTAAGATCAAAGTCAAGAGAAGATTAGCCATTAGTCCATAAACAATATTCATAAATAATGTGTAATGATAATTGGTCATATGTGTGTAAATGATGCAAAAAATATAAAAATAATTAAAATAAAGCTCAAATAATAGTAACCATCCAAATATCATTCAAACTAAAATAAACATCCAAACAAACAATTCAAACATCCAAAATATTAAAACAATAAATCCTAAGTTCAATCCAAGAAAACAAAGCAAGAACGGTCTAATCATCCATAGGAGGATTGGGAGGAGGAGGATAATGTGCTCGCTTCTTGAGTGTAAGCGCATCTAATTGTTCGTTCATCTTCCATTGTTAAGCCCTCATAGCAGTTAAATGGGACTCTATGGATGCGAACCTTAGATAAAATGACTCCAAAAATGGTCGAAAATATGGAGGAATTTGATCCTCTTGCTATGTCGGCTCATCCTCGGGTACTTCATCGTCAATATCTTGCATAAGTTATTGAAGCTCTGGATCATCGTCCGCTGCCAGTGCCGGTGCAAGTGAAGCTTATGAAGAACTAGCTCCCTGTGTTTTCTCAGGGGATCAAACCCATTGATCATTTTCCTTCTTCCATCCTGATTTCTTTAAAGATGTCAGATTGATTTCGTTTTTTAGAGGGATGGCTACATCAAGCCAAACTCTAAGTTGGGCTTTGATAAACAGGTTACTCAGAAGACAACCATAAGCTAGAGTTTAACAAACCTTTTATTAGGGATAAGGTTTACGGTTTCAACGAGTCCGAAAAAGATAATTTGAGGTAAGTTTATTTTCTTATTATTCTGGATACAATGTATCCACCAAAGGTCTAAAGCTCTAAAAGTGGAGTATTTGCCTCCGGATGGTCTAAACCACCAAGAGATCATCAGATGGAGAAAACGGGCATGGTGATCTAACACACTCGCACTAGACTTTACCTTGTAAGGAGTACCTACTACTTCTTTTTCATTATCTAAACCGACATTATCTAAATCAAATGCGTTAGCTATGTACTCCGAGTCAATATAAATGAATTGACCTAGAAGATAGGATCGAATTTATATTGTTTCAGTTTTAGCTTGGTTTTAGATACAAACAACATTTGAATAGAAAATTCGAATAAGTTGTTGATAAACAATTAGTTCGAGTTGAAAAAGTTTATCAAATTTCAAGGCTTGAAGGGTAGGAAGATATCTAAAGTTCATTTCTACCATAGCTTGAAGAGAAGGAATACGTTCTTCCAGAATTTTATACGACTCGAAGAGATAGACAAACCTATAGTAAAGATTATCCCTACGGCCAGGTTCATTAAAGCATGAGTTTCGCATAGTCATTTCAGGATCATCGAGATTAGGAATTTGTTGAATAGGAGGTGGATTTGGAGGTCGGTTTGAACGACTAGAGGATGACCTATGATGTTTATGAGACATGGTTTAAGAAATCGGAATAGGATAGATACCTACAATTTGAAACATATGTATGCAATAAAATCAATCCCAAAACTCAAATGAGTCCTCAATATTTCAAGGTTCTCTAAAATAATCCTAATGAGAAAACTTTGAAAACAATGTTTGAAAACAATGTTTGAAAATCAATATGTAGTTTTCAAGACAACATAATTAAATCAAAATCAATTTTTTTATTTCGAAATTTTGAAAAAAATTGAACAAATCTTGTGTTTTTGATAAAATTGGTTGTAGAATCTAGTTTAGAAACATCATATAATCAATACCCGATATATAGTTCAACCTAGAACTAATCAAAACTAGTTCTAAGTTCAAAAATTAATAAAATAGAGTTTTTAGAAAAGTTACATTGGAATTTGAAGATTGAGTGATAATGTGATGTTGTTTGCACTAGTTTGATGATTGTAGCAGGAATGTATGTTAAAACCTGAACTAATTCCGACTTGAATCGATGAATTTGAGTGAAAATGAGAGTAGAGAGGAAGAGAGGGGTGAGCAGTTGTGAGGGTTTTAAGTTTGGGAATTTTGAAAAATGAAGAAATTAGGCGTGTAATAGCCAGAACCCGATGGGGGTATCGTACCATTATGGGGGTATCAGTACCCATTCAAAGGGGATATCGATACCTAGCGCACAGAAAAGTTAAAAATTTGTATTTAAACACTCAAAATGCTAAATTAATTAGCTCTAGTGGTATTGGCAACTCATATATCAAAAATTAACAATGTTCAATCAATCAAATCTATCCTTAAACATTATTTGAAAATATCACTAATGATCATAAACTCCCCCTAACTATTAGCAAAGAATGCAATAAAAAATATTATTTTTATAAGCGTTCTATAAAAAGTGCTAAAATTATTTTAAACACTAAGTCAAGGTAGGTTGGTCAAACCTAATTCTCTCCTAAGTGTCCAAAATATTTCTTTATCTAAAGGTTTTGTAAAAATATATGCTAATTGATGCAAAATATCAACAAATTCTAGAACTACATCTTCTTTAGCGACATGATCTCTAATGAAATGATGTCTAATTTCAATATGCTTAGTTCTAGAGTGTTGGATGGGATTTTTAGTGAGACAAATAGCACTAGTATTGTCACACTTGATAGGTATGGTACCTACTTCAATTCTATAATCTAAAAGTTGTTGTTTAATCCATAAAACTTGTGCACAACAGCTACCGGCTGAAATGTATTTTGCTTCAGTGGTAGATAATGCAACACAATTTTGTTTCTTTGAAAACCAAGAAATAAACATATTTCCTAGGAATTGACAAGTATCGGAGGTGTTTTTCCTATCTATTTTGCATCCTCCATAATCCGCATCAGAGAAGGCATGCAAGCTAAAACTAGAGTCTCTAGGATACCAAAGTCCTAAACTAGAAGT